AGGTATTGACATCACAATATAGGACCTACACTTCTACAATACAGCACTAGATCGTACAGAAACAGGTATTGACATCACAATATAGGACCTACACTTCTACATTACAGTGCAAGATTTGTACAGAAACTCGTATTTACATCACAAAATAGGACCTACACTTCTACGATACAGAGCAAGATCGTTCAGAAACAGGTATTGACATCACAATGTAAGACCTACACTTCTACAATACAGTGTTAGATCGTACAGAAACTCGTATTGTCATCACAATATAGGACCTTCACTTCTACGATACAGTGCAAGATCGTACAGAAACTCGTATTTACATCACAAAATAGGACCTTCACTTCTATGATACAGCGTTAGATCATACAGAAACAGGTATTGACATCACAATGTTGTTCGACCTTCACTTCTATGAAACAGCGATAGATCGTACAGACACATATTGACATCATAATGTAGGACCTACACTTCTATGAAACAGAGCTAGATCCATCTTCGCTAGCCAAGTGTTTGCTTCGTATACACCCCACTTACTCTTGGCAGATATAGCTGTGTGTTTTCATAATTTCCTCAACTGCCACCTAGCAGATATACAGAGTTATCGCTCTTCTCCCAAAAATCTTTTAACCAATCAGAATGACTGTTACATACACACTCCATCGGCTCGTTGACATACGCATGTGTATGTCGAGGTGGAGTATAAATGACAGTGCAATATGGAAAACAATCCAAAGGCAGCACACATGTTTTTCCAGATCATCATTTACATACGGCACATCGTCATGGATTTCCATCAAATGATTTCACACTACTGGAAGTTCCCTAAAAGATTGTGCGCCCATTTTTTTGGGGTGGGGGGGTGNGTTGTCTGTCCTCCCTCTTCTTTTGCATAAGCCTCATTATGTCTTCTCCGCGTGATCCGGAACGCTGGTCGTAATCAGGCTTTGTGTCACAAAAGGAAAGGGTATTTTGAATTTTTCCTCCGGGGGTATGGGTCCTATTGTTGGAACCCTTCATCGCTCCACGGAGACACCACTGCGGCAAGTCGAATTCGCATTATAATGACTGTGGTAACGTATTTTGAAATAGAATTGAGGTTTCTCTTGTGAAACCAATTTCTATTATAAATACTTACCACAGTCATTAGGTGAGTTCCCTCCCAGCCTCCCCTTGTCTCCTTGGCTCTTTTGGAATTATGAAGTGGGAAGCATGGCTTCGTGTCTTAAATCACGTGCTTGAATACTGCCGTCTGATTGGTGGGTTTCCCAGGGGTTCCCCATGTGGGGAAAAATTCTTTATTTACGTATGTAAAGAGCCAAGTAAGGTTGGAATATGCGTATTATAATGACTGTGGTAACGTATTTTGAAATAGAAACAGGTATTGACATCACAATGCATGTTGAGCTACACTTCTACACATAGTGAGTACATCATAATATAGGACCTACAACTTAGACACACTCTTGTGTTGGTCACAGACATGTAGCCTGACAGGTAAACCAAAACTGTTTAAAATGGTAACAGATGAATATACAGGTTTGTAAATGATAATCGCAGAATAAACTAGAATTGCAAGACACTGGCTAACAAATACCCCCTTTCCCCCAGCTGTAAACCAAACAGAAAAATGGCATAACACACACAACATTATTCGAAAAATGTCAAAGATTTGCCTAAGAATTTTGTGAAAGAGGTGTACAATGTATAACAAGATTTCAACAGGAGTGGTTGTGTCGCCTGCGCAACAGATTTTCTATTTATAGTAATGGCGACATTGACCTTTGACCTTCGGACCTGAAAAGCAATCTCAAGCAAGCACTATTGTTAAGAAAGCACAGTATGAAGTGTGAGCTTGATCGACCTAAAGAAACTCAAGTTATCGCACTGTGACCTTGACCTTTGACCTTCGAATCTACAAAGCAATCCTAAGCAAGCACTTATAGTAAGGAAGCACTGTATGAAGTTTGAGTTCAATAAACCCTAAGGAACTCAAGTAATCGGACGGAAACAGATTTCCTAAACAAGGAACAATAAACGGCAAAAATGAAGTAGTGTTGCTATGTCAAGTGTGATACGCCAAAACGTGGAAAGTTGAAACAACAGAAAAACCTGTAATGTATGTTGAACATTATTGCTTCTAGCATTACCATACTAAATTTGAAAGGAATTGATTAAAAAATAAAAAAAGTTCTTGCATTTACTACTCAATGCCCTTATTTGGCAATGAAAGGAGCATAGCCCCTCAATGATAAGGGACCAAACTCTGCTGAATAGCATTTAGATATCTAGATTTAAGAACTCATCCAATACATTCAGGTAATGAAACATGCCACCAAGTTTGACAAAAATTGAAGGACAATTGTTTGAGTTATCGCGTAAACAAGCAAAAATAAATGGCGAAAACGATAAACAGCGTCGTTATGTCAAGTGTGATATGCCAAAATGCAGAAAAACTCGTAATATAGGTTATCCGAGAACAGAAACCTTGTTTCGAACGATGCAACTGGCGCTGAAGAAGTAATACCTTCAGTGTTGCAGGCGACACAAAAAAGGGAGGGCAGGTGCACAATGTCAGAGTATGGGAACTGCATGAGTAGAGTTTTGTGTAATTTGGATAAATACTAAAGAGGAGTTGTCAGGATAAGATTCAGTCTATAGAAATAGACAGATCAAAGGACAGACTATGCTATTGAAGTATAGCCCTACAACATCTGACCATAACAACAACAGGTTACAACATCTGACCATAACAACAACAGGTTACAACACAGGTCATTATGCCAGGTAACAGATCTATACAAACCTTTCTGTCATAAAGCTTGGTGTCTATCTTGCGCAGGTCAATGGCGTCCTGCATGGAGGCCCTCCTAGGGCGATGTGAAGGTAGGGGAGGCAAGCCGTCTGATCCTGTTACTATGCCAACCCCCTCGTTAGAGAAGGTGAAGGTCATCTCACGAAGACCAGACAGAGATCCAGGAGTGACTGGACCAGAACTAGGATCTGTAAAGCATAAAGATTCAGTTATGAATGATTACATTTAATTACTGGTCATGTGCTATCTCTGTAAATAATATCTATTTCATAGTCTTATTTCCCAGGGAATAATACAATGACCTCTGACAAAATAAAAACATAAAAGGGCATAGTTGAAGGATCCCTGGCCAACTGTAACCTCCCCTTAATTTCTGTTTGGATATGTTACAATTGCACAGTTGGGCCAGGATACTTCTGATGATACTCGGTAGCTCAATCAGTTAGAGCAAAGGTACAACAATCTGAAGTTCTGGGTTCGAGTCCCGGTCTGGCCCTGCTAAATGTTTACAATCTCAACATTGTTGCTGATTATATTTTGTTTATTTCATGTTCATAATTTCTGAAAAGGTCCCATGCAAGGTATGGTTTTCTTTTCAGAAAGTATTTATCAAAGCTCTAGACATGCCTAAAAAAAACAGTTTCCAATACTTAGTTACACATTTCAAAAGCAAAACTAGAGAAATTCTGCAGATTTTAATTTTTGTTTTTGTTTTTTAGGTTTAAATTGCAATTTATTCCCCCAGCATCTTTTGGGAGGGATGCAAGGGTTGGGGTGCCCTGGGTTGCCAGGGTTGGGGTGCCCTGGGTTGCCAGGGTTGGGGTGCCCCGGGCTCATACCTCTTACATAATGTTACCTCACGCAGGAGGCCTATTTCCCTTCATTCTCACTTTCTTTTTCATTTCTTCTCTCAAACTTTCAAATCATTCATTTTTTCATTCTCATTCATTACAATAATAATAGCATTTAATTTGATCAAAATGATATGTTAAGTTGAAAATATATGTATATTCCAGAAATTTCTTCCAAATTAGGGAGAGTTGGTAAGTATACAGCTTTCGTTACCACAGCATTTATGAGAAACTATGGATATGATCAGTATAACCACGGACTTTCTTCATCAACGGTGATCTCTTTGTTTCCCAAGGATTTACAACCAGTGATTGATGAGACAGGCCTGACACAATGTCAGCCTGGTTCTGACTAGCAGTAATGGTGGTGGTTTTTTCTTGATGAGTAAGTAAAGTATACATCTCAACTGTTATTCGTAGATTCGATTAATAGCCAAATACATTAACGGCAAACTCAATAAAAAAAATAACACAATTAACATTGAAGTGAAATCGGTATATTCTGTACAGCAATAAAACTGTACGAAACTAAACAACTAAAGACAGGAAATGACACCAGTGGTCAAATAATCAAATATAGAAGACTGCTTCCGCTCAAGTGATAAACTCAATTTGAGGTATTACTATAATTCCGAATTACTGATTCTGGTCATGTGCTGTTCAGGTCAAGGTCACAAAACTGATAACGGTCAGGTGAACTTATGATGCCAATAGAAGATTCTCAGTGTCTCCGAAAATGAAGTTACTTAATATCTGTCCATATATCAAGGTCATCTGAGTGTCATTGAGGGGTAACAAAGGAGTTGTCAAACTTCCTTTATTGGTTCAGCACAGATATCATTCCAGTTAACAAGGTCAGGTTTCGGAAAGTGAGTGACCGCCTATTTCTACACATGTTTTATGTATTCTGTCCATGTACCACCTATTATGTACACAGGGCGGCCATTATTAAGGGGTCACACCTTCTACCCCGCAATGAGGATTCTCCCCTAGTGGCAATCAGGTTGTATTAAGACGCCACGTCAGGCTAGGCTCTCTCTTGTCTCAATAATCAGTCAGATCTGATCAGCGTCTGCTTACAAGATGGCCGATCGTGCATCTTTAGCCATCATCATACATTTCAGTGTTTTATCAAATCACCTAGATCTCATTAATAATATATTGTTACAGTGTCTGTCGCTTTGGACATTTAGTGGCCACGTGTAGGACTTCAGGCCGCTCGGGTCAGCACTGCAGCTATCAAAATACTGCATGGCCATTGGTCAGCACTGAAGTAACTGACCTATATATCATCCGATAATTTGAGACCAACTGCCCGCACAAGCCAAATACTTTGTAGCCATTGGTCAGCACTGAAGTAACTGACCGTATAACACCCAACAATTTGTGTCAAATTGGAGCCAAATACTTCACAGCTATTGGTCAGAACTGTAGCTACCCAAATACTTCATGGCCATTTGTCAGCACTGAAGAAACTGACCCTTAAATCACCCGACAATTTGAGCTTAAGTTTGTATCAAGTCACAATATAACAAATAGAGGCTTCAATTAAAAGATTGATCATCTGGAATTGGTCACTTTAATATGTCACCAATAAATGTATTGATACATAGGTAACTCCTACTATCTCAGTATTGAAGCCATTCAAAATTTAGGTTTTGGTCCTCGTATCAGAAGTTCAAACTCACGTGATTGCAGGGGCCAGACTTATCATTGTCCATTGGCATATGAAACAGAAAAAATACAGGAGCCATGCTTTGTAATAGATGAACAAAACGTAAATGTTTTGTGAAGCAAGCAGCTGCTCCTCAGGCGTTTGTCTCTTTCATTGTATAATATAACCGACCCCAATAGAATAACATAACATTTGTTTAAATAGTTAAATTCTGATAAAATAAATCTTTGTTCTGTTGTAAAAACAACGAGACTCGATCTATAGAGACATTAAACCCGATGGGTTAAAATCGATTTGAATGTTTTATTGTGGTTTAATTTGTTTGTAGGTCAGTTCGCCGACGTTAATGGTGATGTTATGTCTGATGTATCTGATCAATAATTAACGGTGCAAGTCTGCATCATCAATCTCCATTTACAGAAACTAACAGTTTATCATGTAATGTTATCAGAATTTAAAACGGTTACTGACTAGAGTTATGGACTGTTTGTTTAGAACAGATAGCCCCTGTCAACCAGAAGACCTGACTAGTTGGCTGCAGACAGACAAGGAGGCGCGATACCTTCACTTGTTACAGTACTTAGTTACTTGTGTTGTAGCCATATTCGTATATCTTGTGAACTGTCCTCCACTTCTTTTTTATTCTACTTGCACATATGTATATGTTTGAAATTCAATATTTATTTGTTAAAACAACATTTCATGATGGTGATGAAACACACAACCATAAATGTACTGTAAAGCACTTCAGACTGGCTTATGTTAGGTAGATAGGGCGCTATATCAAATGCTGTATATTATTATTATTATAAATTAGTTCATTTTAACATGGTGGCATCGACATAGTGTTTTTCTAAATTTAATGCCTCCTTCTAAGTGATCAGGTAGACTAAACCCAGTTTTACTGGTCATCCTAGCCCACCCATGCTACACTGCACCTTTATCACCAAAGGTTTAAACGCTTTTGTGGCAGGAAATGTTGTCAATCAATTAAAAAAACACACTAAAATATTTACCATGACACAATATCATCCTTACCAACTCTCCCTATTTTAGACCCTAAAATCAGTGAATTTACTTAACTATATCTGTAGTCTATGCTCTACAGATTTCATTAAAAGGAAAAATACAAAAGATGCCATATCAAGTGTTATNTGCATGTACACAATGTCACAGATAATTTGAGGGTTGCCCTGTAATCTTATAAGTGCAAAGTTTTCATGTGATGAATGTTTGTGAATTTGAATTTTTCATAAAAATTTAAGCGCAATATATATAAACATCTCTTAATTTCGGTATCAAGGTGACTTTAAAGGGTAAAATAAAGCTCTTCACGAAATTGAACAAAAATTACGAAAAGATGGAATGTATCTAAAATGTTTGTTCTTTTCTATGTTTTCTTCTCAAACAAGCATAATTACAGGTAATAATATGGGATCATACAAACCAACAAATGAAAATATTTTTTTCAGAATTTGTCCTATGCAAGATTAATCAATCTCAAATTGGAGGATATATAACAAGGAATTCCTTTTTGGTTAGCTTACAAAATTCTTCACAATATATTTAATACTTTTAGAAAAAGCAAAATCAACCTTTACATGCAATATCCTTACAAAGTTCAAGATTGCAAACAAAGTAGGAAGGGGATCATGTATATTGTTTCCTCATGTTTCCTTTGTTAGGTCCTGTCAAATGATGACTTTGATTCACAAATTTACAAGGCAGTCGATAATGTAATTGCATTTCACTAAGTTGCCGGGTTGGATTCCTCATTCGGACATGAAAAGGTCACCTGCCCGACCAATGAGGGTTCCCTCTGGGTAGTCCAGTTTCCTTCCACATTAAGACCAATACAGAAAGCTAACAGTGATTCTTGCCCAAAACATAAAGGGGACTGTCTGATAAACAACACATGACCCTCAGAGACAGGGATGAAGGTTATACCCTACAGGAACAAAACATGGCCAGTAGACAAGGCACTATGGTACCTCTCCCAATATAACAACCCGCGTGCACCAGTAGTGTTCTCTGAAGGAGCAAGCAATGTTCACTAGTGACTCGAAGATACAAATGCCATTTTAGGGACAATGGATTTTTACCTGTAAGATAGACAAAAGATTTTCCCTGAAGATGTTACAAATGGCCACAAGTGGTTTAGAAAAGGGAACAATCAGCGACTAAAATGTAGCAGTGGCAAGGACAAAACCCTATCCCCGAAAGAAAATTGCATGTCAATCAGTGGCAAGACTGAATGATGCTCCTGAAAAAGAAACCAATGGCCGCCAGTGGCTGGACAAAGCATTCCGTGTCTGCCAGGTACACAGGCAAAGGGTTTTCTCTGAAAGAACAACCTGTTAGTGGTTAGGACGAATGAACTCCTTCATCAGAGAGAAATCAAATACTGATATACTGCCATTTCTACATATATGCACTGAAATTGCCCCAAAGTGACAGCCGTGCTCTGCTTTGTGAGGCAGACTAGGGGATTCCATGTACTTAAATACTGTTCTGTCTCTTCCTCTGATGTCATTATCTACATGCCAATTCCAACATGTCATCCTTTCCTGAGGGGAAAAATAACCACAATATAAAATCTGTCAAACAAAGTTAAGTCTTGTTCTAGACGCTAAATGCATTCATAAGGAAAAGCAAGACACAC